CTTAACGCCAAATGCATTGTCGGGTCTGATCATACCCCCTTGATTCTTGACGACGGTTCCATTAGCCCTAGACCTCTGGCTAGATTTCAATTTGATGCATCATGGCTGTCTGTGGATGGCTTTGTTGATATGGTTGCAGCAAAGATTTCCCAATCCCTTTCTTCCAATTCCCGCTCGGTTGGGCCTCTGGATGATTGGCACTCGTGCTCCTATAACCTGCGTAAATTTCTCAGAGGTTGGTCTCGTAATCGTGCGGCGGAGGATCATCGCACCAAATCTTTCCTCGAGAGCCAGATCGTGTCGCTAGATCATGCGGCTGATTCTACTGGGCTCTCTGACGATGGTTGGGCCGTCCGTTATAATCTTGAGGCTGCTTTAATACAGTTGCACCACCAGGCTGAGATCTACTGGCGTCAGCGGGGCAATCTTAACTGGACTCTTAAAGGGGACTCTCCTACAGCTTATTTTTCTGCGATTGCGAACGGTAGGCATAGGCGTTGTGATAATAATAGCCTGTTGATTAATGGTGTGCGATCTTCTGAGCAGTCTGCTATTATGGATCATGTGGTGGAATTTTTCTCTTCGTTGTTAGGGGCTAAACCTCAATCGGGCTTCTCTATCTCTCCCTACCTTTGGAGCTCATGTCTTAAAATCACACCCGAGGAGAATGCCTCCTTGATGATCCCTCTCTCTGATCAGGAAATCTGGGATGTTGTTAACACTGCTAATCCCAATGCTGCCTCTGGGCCAGACGGCTTTTCCATTCCTTTCTTTCGGAAATTCTGGCCCCAGTTGAAATAGTTGGTATGTAATGTTATCCAGGGTTTCTGTCTTGGTACTGTCGATATCTCTCGCCTGAACTACGCTGTGATATCCCTGATCCCCAAGGTCAAGGGTGCTGATGTTATTTCCCAATTTCGGCCTATTTCTTTGATTAACAACTTTTGCCAAATTCCCGGCTAAAGGCTTTTCGAATCGTTTGTCTCCGGTCGCTCATAGAGTTATTAGCCCCTATCAATCTGCTTTTATCAAAGGGCGTTTCATTCTTGACAGTATCCTATCCCTACATGAGATTGTTCATGATCTTCATATTCGGAGAGCTAAAGCGATTATACTTAAGTTAGACTTTGAGAAAGCGTATGACTCGGTTAGCTGGCCTTTCCTCAAGCAGGTCCTCCTTGCTAAAGGCTTCGACGGTGCTTATGTTCACCGTATCATGCAGTTGGTCTCGGGTGGCCATAATGTCGTTGTTGTCAATGGCTTTGTTAGCAATTTCTTTGCGAATGGCAGGGGCCTTCACCAAGGGGATTCGGCCTCTCCTGTTCTTTTTAACTTTGTGGCCGACGCCTTCTCATGCATGCTCTCCAGGGCGGCCCGTTGTGGGCACATCGCTCCTGTGGTCTCCCATTTACTTCCGGAGGGTGTCTCCCACCTTCAATATGGTGGAGCTGGATGACACCTGTATTGCCAATCTGAAATTCATCCTGCTGTGTTTCGAAGCCGTTTCGGGTCTTAAGATTAATTTCACTAAAAGTGAGGTACTGGTGACGGGTGTAGATGGGGCGGAAGCCTTGCAGGTTGTCAGGCTCCTTAACTGTTCATTAGGCTCCTTCCCCTTCAAGTATCTAGGCCTCCCTATTTCTCCTGTCCTGCTTCATGCAAATGATTTCGCTCCGGCGATCGCTAAAGTGGGGAACAGGGTGCTCCCCTGGAGGGGCAGATATAATACCAATGCTGGCAAAGTAGCTCTTATTAACTCCTGCTTATCCTCTCTCCCCATGTTTCTTATGGGCTTCTATCTTCTTACGAATGGCGTGCATGCTGGCTTCGACAAACATAGGGGAGCCTTCTACTGGAATTCCACCGATGGCAAAAGGAAATATAGGCTGGTCAAGTGGCAACTTATGTGTAAGCCTAAAAACCTTAGGGGGTTAGGCATTATTAATACTCGGGTGATGAACATCTATTTGCTTATCAAATGGTGGTGGAAAATTTTGACTGTTG